AGAAGGGTAAATGTATATAATAAAAAAAGTATATATTTAAATAAAAGTAATAATTATAGAAATAAAAGTGTATATATTTAAAAACAAATACAAGTAATAATCATATAAATAGATAAAATATTATGTAGGTATAAATAACAGTATCAATATATTATGGGTACTATAATATCCAGATGTCTGTAGGTGTCACTTAAAGCGTAACAGTACTACAAACTCTGTACAGGCGTCTGCATAGTGATATGCTGATGTTGAATAGTTAGGGAAAGAGTGTAGAGTGTTTTTGTGATGGATTATACGCAAAGCGTTTGTAACGTATTCTAGCGATTGCGCAAAGGGTGTAGGTCAAGTACACCAAGTGCCAATAGTTGGGAGTGCCCATGCGATGGGTGGTGGTGTGTGAAGTGATATACTGCGAGCCACACTGGGCCGAGTCAACCACCCAGCCACAGAACACAAACGCTATAGAAAGCTCTGCATCCAACTCAACTTGCTTTATTGCCCAGACCTTGGCTAATCCAAACAGACATCTCTGTGGTTACTACTGATACCATCGGGGTCATGCGCAGTGGCCCAGGCCTCGATGGAAGTATTGTTATGTAAAGACGAACAATTTAATTGGTCAGTGCCCTGCAACACACACCGACAGGAGTACCGAACTGCCACTCCGAGATAGTCCCCAAGATATCCTCTGCTTTTACCTAAAACCCTAAAACCCTTGTGTGGTATCTTTCTTTGCACCGCCCTCGCGACCTCGGGACGGGATGACTGCGGGCCTCGAGCTACAAGGGATTGCCTTGTCCAAATATTGTAATAAGTGGACTAGAGTGGTCCTCGACCTCTGTTAGAGGTTATGGATACAGCGGTGCTGTAATACTTTGGCGCCCACAACACATCAGACACAGCCGCCATTGAGTTATTGTATGCCATAGTATTCCAGTACCCACAACCACCTTTGTACTTCGTCAAACATGTTATAGTGTCCACACCGTCGGAGATCAACGTCACTAAGTGATCCCTAAATAGGACTTGACTCAATCCAACCCCCACAGCCCTGGTGTGGGCCCACACAGCACCCATACTGCAGATCACACACGCCATACGCACAGTATGGGCTGCGCTATAGCGCCCATCCGCAAAATTACGTAAAAGATTAATATAAATTACAGACGAAAGGATTGCACACCCCTGTCGTTGGAGGCGAACGTTGCACGTTGCACCTTTGCCTGTGTTGATTCCGTTGTGCACCCTCTCCTATCTACACTGATAGTCCTATCTACACTGATAGTCCTATCTACACTTATAGTCCTATCTACACTGATAGTGATAGTACGCTCTCCTGACACCAACTAGACTTGTACTTGAAAGGAAAGCGTATCTGGCGCGTGTCTGTGTGGCGTGTTGTTTGTCACGGTGTAATAAAGTGCTTTTCAGCAAAGATTGCGCTACGGTTGACACACTATAAAGAGCCCGAGTGTACGGGATGGCCTTTGGACTTTGTTGCATTGCATATTGCGACAGTGAGTGGATCGCATGTCGTCTCGGTGTCCGAAGTTCGGTACAAAAGTGAGGGTCCTAAGCGTAGGGGCGAACTGGGCTGATGTGATGGTCTAGCACCGAACAGCCACGCTCCCGCCCGAATAGAAACCCTAAAACCCCGAGATCAGGCTCAACGAAATAAGTTCCGAAGACAGTCACGCGCACATCGATGTTCTCATAAAAGACATAAATCAGAAGCAACGCTGTGGGCTGGATTCATTGGCCCATACTATAAATAGAATCACCGCTCTGAGCTGAATTGCTGACGCATACTATAAATAAATTCTTCGCTCTGAGCTGAATTAATGACTCATACTATAAATAGAATCTCCGATCGGAGCTGAATTAATGACTCATATTATAAATAGAATCTCCGCTCGGAGCTGAATTAATGACGCATACTATAAATAGAATCACCGCTCTGAGATGAATTAATGACTCATACTATAAATAGAATCATCGCTCTGAGCTGAATTAATGACTCATACTATAAATAGACCCAACGCTCTGGGCTGGATTCATTGGCCTATACACCGATCCCCCTCACACGTCAGATATCACTGATGCTGTCCGTTGATCCAAACTCTAACCGGCTGGTGCCACTGCACACGAGAGAGAGATGACAACGACAGACACCCCACGACGAGTCAGCAACAGGTGACAACAGAACAATTGAAGAGAGAAGTGCAAGAGAGAAGACAACCACAGACACCCCACGACGAGTCAGCAACAGATGATAACAAAACGATTGAAGAGAGAAGTGCAAGAGAGAAGACAACCACAGACACCCAACGACTGACCACATTACACCACCTATCACAAACTAACACTCATGACCACACTACACCACCCATCACATACTACAACTGATGACCACACTACACCACCTATCACATACTACAACTCATGACCACACTACGCCACCTATCACATACTACAACTCATGACCACACTACACCACCTATCACATACTACAACTCATGACCACACTACACCACCCATCACATACTACAACTGATAACCACACTACACCACCCATCACATACTACAACTGATAACCACACCACACCACTTATTACATACTACAAGTGCCTGTCAAGTGGTGGGGGGGGGGGGTGCATTAGCGGTCGCGGGTGTCTCGGAATGTTTCATAGCCCCTGAGCAGTGGATGGCGTGTATTGGGTGTGATCCACACGTGCACAGCTCGCAGAGGCAGTGACGGGACAGGCGGGTGTGGTGTGATAAACGACGTCTGAGATATACATCAATGGTGTACTGGTGTAGGCGTGCGTATTCGCATGCATGGGGCTTGCTTTAGGCTAAGTGTCTGAGGAGTCGTAGATGGACTACAGAGGGGCATGGTCCCAACCATGTCTATGACTTTATCTCAAAAGTATATCATAGATAAATCTCTACATACCCAAAAAAAAAATAATACAAAAATAATAGCCGAGCAGTACCACGCGGCTACCTCGGTGGTAGGTAGATGACACCACACAAGTTACACCACAACTGAATAAAACGAGACCATTCGCCGGGTGTGCAGTGCGTGGCCACTGGTTGCATGACTCATTCCACGGCCCACCCGCACAGAGCAGTGGGACACGGTACAAGACAGTGTCATAAAAATGCCACAGATAGGCTTAGAGAATGCCACAGATGAACCCATAGAATACCACAGATAGACTCACAGAATGCCACAGATAGACTCATAGAATGCCACAGATAGACTCATAGAATGCCACAGACGTGTCCGGGATTCGTATCTAAGCAACACACAGCACAGGGCACAATGTAGAATAGTACCACGATGACTCATAGTAACAGGTGTGTACACAGACCAATGAACATATGCACTCACCCAGGACAAACACGTTCAGAGCACGACACCTACATACGTACATGTGTATGTTACATTCACACGTGTATGTGTATAATACATATACACGTGTATGTGTATGATACATTCACATGTACATGTGTATAATACATATACATGTGCATGTGTATGATACATATACGTGTACTTGTGTATGGCACATCCACATTTACATGTGTGTGCCTTGTTGTAGTTGTGTGCACGTAAGGCCATTCGTATAATTCCACTCAGCGTATGTATGTGCTGGTGTGACACATGCGCTGAATGCCACGCTCACTCTGTCTGATTATTCCCAGTCTTGGCTCCGCCCACACATAAAACTACATTTACACGTGCACATACACATAACGTGTGACTGATGGAATATTTACGAATAAACACACACACACACACAGACACACAGACACAGACACAGACACAGACACATACATACACACACACACACACACACACACACACACACACACACACAACAAACAACACACACACATACACATACACACACATGTGCACGATGTCACACACCAGCACATCCATCACACGCGTGCTTACCCTGCCAGAGCCTCTCCTGAGTTTCTCCTGGTTGCGTTTTTTCCCTCCCACATAGTGCGTAAGTCACTACGCACACACGCCTGCAGCAGTGTGACCGACACCAGGCACGGATTAATATACAACAGAGCCGGCTGGGTGGGGTGGGGGGGGGGGGGTGGGGGTGTATAATAAGAGGATAGGAGATAGGTAAGAAAGGAATGAGCACTGGCGAGGGATGGTGGTAGTATGGGAAGACACAGAGGGCATAAAAGGGATGTAAAGTAGGTGAGACATATATAAACACTGGTGAGGGATGGTGGTAGTATGGGAACACACAGAGGGTATTACAGGGTTGGAAAGTAGGTGAGACATATATAAGCACTGGTGAGGGATGGTGGTAGTATGGGAACACACAGAGGGTATTAAAGGGATGGAAAGTAGGTAAGACATATTTAAGCACTGGTGAGGGATGGTGGTAGTATGGGAACACACAAAGGGTATTATAGGGATGGAAAGAAGGTAAGACATACATAAGCACTGGCAAGGGATGGTGGTAGTATGGTCACACACAGAGGGTATCAAAGGAATAGAAAGTAGGTAAGACATATACAAGCACTGGTGAGGGATGGTGGTAGTATGGGAACACACAGAGGTATTAA